GGGGGGGGGGGGGCTGGGGCTGAGCCCAAAACGCGATTCCAGCAACAATTGCTGGCCCGGGCAGGATGTGGGGGCCACATGCCTGGGCTGGCTCGAAGGCAAGGGGAGCCCATGTGCTGGCCCGAGGGCTGGTGCCACGTGGCAGCTTCTGGGTTGTTGGATTTCTTTTTTGTCCTTCAATCCAACGGCAGGACATTTTTTCTGCAAAAAAATATGAATTTTTTTTAAAAAAAATACCCAAAAATCTCTTCTTTTTTTCTTTTTTTTTCTTTTAATAAATACCAATCCCTACTCTTCACTTTTAACAACAAATCCTCATACATCTTCTCCTCCTCCAATTATTATTCACTTTCTAATCAATATTTTTTTCACTTTCAAGTTTAATTTTTCTCTATCATATTATGGCTTTTTCTCAAGAAACCAAAGGGGCATGGAGCATCATGGAAGATGTTATGAAATTTGAAACAAAAATTTATCTGAAATTTGAAACCGAAAATCTTATCCGAATATTTTATCAGAAAATCTCATTTGAAAATATTGTCCAAATTAATTGTTTAGGTAAACAAATTTGTGAAAAAAACAAAAAATTGAATAGTACTTGCCCTTTGCCATGGCAACTGCTGGAAGTGCAACTTACTGTTTACAAGGGCAGACACTATTCATGTGAATAGTGTCCACCCTACCCCCTTGCCATTGCTGGAAGTGCCCTAAGGGAAGTGCGTTTGGGGTTGTGGGAATGTATGAGGATGATTTCTGGATGTGTTGATGGAATGATGGAAGTGTGGAGGATGGCTGAAGTGAATTTTGTAGCTTGAAGATTTCTCTATTTATAGGGCTAAGAGGGAGGAACATCATGATGGAATCCAACACCACCATTCCTCATTTAATACAATCCATAACTCCCACTTCATCTTGTCTATGTTAGTGTGGTTGGAATCAATCCCATCCCATACTTCTTTTGCTGCACCTCAAGCTTTCTTCACATGGGTGTTCAAAGGTGTTCAATTGTGGCTGCCTTTTGCTGCCAATCCATGTGGGTTGTCTTCTAGTTGCTGGAAAAAGGGATTCTTCTGAACCAGTCTTGGTGTAGGAAGGCCTGAGGTTTCAATATGTATCCAATGGGGCTCAAAATTGGGTATGTCATAATAGACACCCATTGGAACAACTTTTATGAAGAATATATTCCCATCTGAGCAGTACAAGTGTACGTTTTGAGCCTTGCAAGTTGACTGCCGAAAATAGACTGGAATTGACTCATGGTGTGCATTTTGATTGGCCCACGGATTGGGCTTGGCTTCATAAATTGATACGTTTGAGCAGTCCATCTTGCAGTTCAGAATCTCTTCTTTCCAACCACAATTTAATTGGGCCAATACAAGTTGGGAGGAGGAAGTTAAGGCCGAAACAAATTGCTAACTCAGTCTGCTCGTTTTTGCACCATTTTGCATATTTTCCTATCCAAAACCACCATTGCTACCTAAGGCTCAATGAACTGAATGATAAATAGAAAAGAGATTAAAAGCACAAGTTTAACTCAATAACATAACCAAATCATAAGCTAGAGGGGTACAAAATGATATACAATTATGAACTGATTAGTTATTAATTCCACCACTGTCGTATTTCTCCATCCATCTTCTAACCTTATCTTCTAACCTTATGTCGGAAAAATGAACTTAAATGAACTAATAAGAATTGAATGGGGACAAATTAACACCAAGGTTATCTGCAACTAATTGACAAAGGTAAACATCATTAAGTAATTGCCAATGGGCTCTTAGCTCAATGGTAGAGTTGTTGGCATGCAGGCTAGTTGTATGCAATTCGATCCCCCATGGCACTATGCGTGTGTGCCCTCTCCTTTCCTAATTACACTGTGCGTGTGTGTGTGAGAATACTCCCTCCCCTTTCCTAATTGTGGCAACAACAAAAAATCATGAAGTAATTAAGATGTTTGAAATTGCACATAGCAAGGAATACAAAGACAACCACCAATGCTGTTTTCCTTTGGATTTATGGCCCCGTGACCTGATGACGTATCCTTATCTGTTAGCCAATGATTGCAAGATGGAGTTTTGGAGTGGAGCATTTGAATGATTGCATTTTATGCTTGCAAGGGAGACTGATACAGGGATGCCCTACATTTGGCATCATTGGTTAATTGCTTTGTTTCTTTTTTCTCTTTATCAAGTGTTGGATCTACCTTTGTGAATTTGTGATTTGTTCATATCCAGTATCTCAAATTGTTAAACTAACATTTTGAATACACTCTTCTAGCTAGTTTTCCTTGCTTGATACTATCTTTGTTGCATAAAATTATTTATGCCATATGGTTTAAACAGTGGAGTTTTACTTTGATTTCCACATTAAAGTGTGTGAAGACTTATAGTTATATGCTCAGTTACCCGTTGGCTATTAAATACAACTACCAATATCCAATTATGCAGGGGTAAATTTTTTTTTTTTTGGGACAAATGATAGGAATATTTACAATATACTTTTATAATGGGCTAGTATACTCACAACTAGATATATCGAACTCATCACAAATATATATCATCCTCGCCATCCATGTGAGTTGAACCTGAGACCTCCTCTAACCAATTGGAGACAAATACCACTAGACCAAAGACTAGTTGGTAATTCAAGTAGGTTCTATGGGCCTATGGCAAATGTTTTAACTAGTGAAAACTTCATTTAGGTCATTGTAGGTGAAGATGTTTGATCTTGTTTGGTTTCTTCTACTTCTGGGTATTGGGCATACACCTTAAGCTGTTGCATTTGATCAAAACTTGAAACATGAAAGGGCTGCTGGATACAAAGGGCAACAAAGATTCCCTTCTTGTTTTTATCCTTTCATTACATGCCCTTCAATGAAATGATTATTAGTTAACTGTTCCAATTGCCTCTTGAATAGGTCACAGAAAAGAAACAAACTAGCCCATCACAGATAAAATCTAATCCTCGCTGTGTATGAATCAACATATTCATTTTTTACCAGTTAAGGTTTGCAATCCACTAGGTAATTGAATAACTCAGTCATTATACATGGTTTTGGATGAGACATGAGATTCAATTTAATATTGTCACTTGGGGGAAGGGGGAGAGTTTGACCCACTTTTCCACTGTGATGCCACCCATACACTACTACAAAAAACGAAATAGACGACGGGAATCCACCGTCGTGTATCATGTTTTGCAACCAACGAGAAATCGACCGCCGTCTTTTATCACATGAAATAACGACGGCAAATAACCGACGTGGTTAATATATTACACGTCCTAAAAAAAACTAAAACCGACGTCGATTTCATACATAAAAGCATAAAAAGAGAACTTTCGACTATAATAGACGACGGTTTTAGTAAAATACAGACGTTTAAATAATGTTATATGTCAAAAACAACTACAAACACAATGTAAATATTTTTATCAACGTCTCTAAATCAAACAAAACCGACGTATAAAACTTAGAAACCGTCGTGGTTAATAAATACTACGTTCACTAAATAAAACAACTGACGTCTAAAACATATAACATGGCATGTATTTACTTGAACTGACGTAAAAACAATAATAACCACGACCCTTTAGGTCACCACAGACGTTGAAAATTATTTTGACGGCTTGAACACAAAAAAAAACGACGTGGTTAAAATATTACACGTCATAAACAAACGAAAACCGACATTGATTTGATACATAAAAGCATAAAAGGAGAACTTTCAACTATAATAAACGACGGTTT